GTCCTCAGGAATGGAGGCGGATTTTAAGGAAAGATTACATATTTTTGTCAGGAGATCCACAAGTTCACAATTGAGTTCTTTCAGAACTCTTGGATGTATGCCATCTGGGACTGGTGAGTCATCTGTTTTTAAGTTGTCTATCAGTTTTAGGACCTCCTCTCTCATCACCTCAATCTGACTCAGGTCTTTTAACTCCTCCCAGAATCAGCGGTTCTGGAGTGGGCAAGCACTTCTAATCTTCCACAGTGAAGACAGACAATAAATGCATCCAGCTTCTCAGCCATTTCCCTATCATCCTTCAGAAATCCTTTTACCCCTTGGTTGTCCAAGGCCCCCTGGTAGATTCTGTGACCATCTGCTCCATAGCACAGTCATTGAGAGTGTCTAGAAACTCAATCTCTTTTTCCTGACTTGAACACATATTGACCCAATCAATGTGTGGGTAGTTAAAATCACCTATTATGACACAGTTATTTCATCTAGCCACTATCTTTAATTCATTCATCATTTTATACTCCTCTATCTTTTGATCTGCTGGACGATAACACACTCCCAGGGTTAAGCTTCCTTTTGGGCCCACTATTTCAACCCATAGCATTTCCAGAAGCAAATCCCACTCTCTTACCTTCTCAATCTTACTGGACTGTAACTTCTCTGACATAGAGCCACCCCACCTCCAACCCTTCCCCCCTATCCTTCTGATCTAATTTATAAACAGAAATCACCATATCCCACTGATTTTTCTGATCCCACCAAGTTTCTGAAATACCCACAATGTCTATGTTTTCCCCCAACACCAAGCATTCTGATTTTACCTCGGACATTTCTAGCATTTGTATATAAACATCTATAATTTCCCAGACATGTTAGGCCCACAACCTTCCTCCTGCTGCCTCGAGACTTTGCCAGTGTCAGCTCTCTCAGCCCCACCCACCTCACAGGGTGTCTGTTGTGGGGAGGGGAAGGGAAAGGAGCTTGTAAGCCGCTCTGAGACTCTTCTTCTTCTTCTTCTTCTTCTTCTTCTTCTTCTTCTTCTTCTTCTTCTTCTCAGTCTCAGTGGACAATTCTAATCCATTTCCATGCAGAGAAGTAACAGCTACCCCTTCATCTCTTTGAGATGAGCCTTCCCGAATCAGAGACTTTTCATCTCTTGTTGGCTTTCTCCCAATATTCACTTTAAAAAGTGCTCTGCCATCTTTTTGATTTTAAGCGCCAGCAGCCTGGTTCCTTATCGGGACAAGTGGAGACCGTCTCTTTTGTACAGCTCCCTTTTGTTCCAAAAAGCATCCCAGTGCCTAACAGACTTCACCCTTCCTCCCTACACCATCATCTCATCCACTCGTTGAGGCTCCTGATTTGTGCCTGTCTCTCCAGCCCTGCACATGGAACAGGTAGCACTTCTGAGAAGGCTACCTTGGAGGACCTAGCCTTCAGTTTCCTGCCTAGCAGCCTAAATTTTTCCTCCAAGATCTCATGACTATATTTCCCCACATCGTTGGTGCCAACATGTACCACAACCACTTGCTTCTCCATAGCACTGTCTACCAGCCTATCTAGAACACGTGTAATGTCTGCTACCTTTGCACCAGGCAGGTAAGTCACCATACGGACAGTACGCGGGTTTGCCACCCAGCTGTCTACCTGCCTAAGGATCGAGTCCCCAACTACCAAGAGCCCCCCTCCCTCCCTGCCCAGGGATGGTTCCTTGGTGCGAAAGGATACCCATTCACCAGCTGAAGAAGAGGTCCCTTCTGAGGGCACATTCCCCATATCCTCAGCACAGTGCCCTGTTTCCTCTTGCCCCTCATGCTCCCTGAAAGTGGCAGGGGTGCCATTTTCACAAGAAGAAGAAGAAGAGATTGGATTTATACCCCGCCCTTCACTTGGAGTCTCAAAGCGGCTTACAAACTCCTTTCCCTTCCCCTCCCCACAACAGACACCCTGTGAGGTAGGTGGGGCTGAGAAAACTCTGACACAAACTGCTCTTTTTCAAGGACAGCTGTGCCAGAGCTTGTGACCAACCCAAGGTCACATCAGCAGGTGCAAGTGGAGGAGTGGGGAATCAAACCCGGTTCTCTCAGATTAGAGTCTGCGCACTTAACCACTACACCAAACTGGCTCACAGTGGGATATAGCTAACAAGTCCCCGACTGTCTTCTCCCTTCGCCTAACTGACTGTTTCTACTTTTCCAGGTCAGCCACCTTGGCCTCAAGGGAGCAAACTCGTTCCCTGAGAACTAGGAGCTCCTTGCACCGGGCACACACCCAAGACTTCTGTCCAGTGGGCAGATAGTCATACATGTGACACTCCATGCAAAACACTGGATAGCCCCCACCTATTTGCACTGTATTGTTCCACCTACAGGCACCTACAGCTACCACAATTAGATTTGTGTAGCAGATGCCATCGTATGTTTTAGCAATGATTTAGTGATAGTTAGGAATGTTTTGTATCAGTATTTTATAATCTTATAGCTGACTATATTTATATCTTAAACTTGTATTATATTTTAACTATGTTGTTACCTGCCCTGTGCCTAAATAAATACAATAAATAAATAAATTCCTTCATCGAACTTCCAGCGGCGCGGCGTGGCGATGGGCAGGGCGCGCGAGTGCTCCAATGCCCGAATCCCTCCCGTGTCTTTTGGGGCTTTCTCGGTGTCCGGGAAAGTCCCGCCAGATCTCCCGGAGAAAGATCTGGAGCAGAGGACTTTGGGGTGGCCCCTCCCGTTATTGGCAAAGCGGGGGTGTGTGTCCACCTTCTGCCCTGAAGCAGACGCGGGTGAGAGGAGAGGAACATGGCCGCCATGTTCCCCACAGCTGCTGCCTTCCGTCCTGTTTTTATCTATAGCTAATTTTTTTCTTTGGATTACAAGCAACGAGGTAAAAATAAAACAAAACGCGGAACTCTTAGTGCACACTTCTTCAAGGAAACATCGCCCCGAAAATGAGTAGCGCAAAACGAAGGGAAAAAGCGGCCAGAAAAGGAGAAAAGAAGCTAAGTACTATTTATTTACCTTTTTCGATTTGGGGCTATTCATGCTGTTCGCTTGGGAAAGGATATAAAATTGTAAGCTGACTGTGACTAAATTTGTAAACTGAAGGATTGGGAAATGGCGTCTATAAGGGAAAACGAGATGACGGAGACACTGGATGAAAATATGCTTGTGGCAGAAATGTTGGTGGAGCAGTTTATGGGAGTACTAAAAGAAGGAATACAAAAGGCCTTAACAGAAGGACTACAGAAGGGGATACAGCAGGCATTTGCAAATCTATATGCAACCCCCACTGTAAAAGAAAAGGCTGAAACTTTGGATTCGTTGATTCAAACTCAGGAAGAGATCACTTAACCACAGCAAGGAAAGGAGGGCACAGATTTATTATGCTTGCAAGCTCCAAGACAAAGGGAAGAAATAATACCAGTTAAAAGGAAACAACGGAAGAGAAAGAAGGCAAGAGGAAAGGGAAAGTTGTATAGAGCCCTGCCTGATAAGAAGAAAATGAGAAGAGAAAGACAAGGACAATTTGAGTGGAGGATTAAAAGGGACAAAAAGGATTTGAGTTATGACCTTTTAAAAGAATTTGAGGAAAGACTGGAAAGGATCTACCACTTGTGCAAAGAGATAAAGCACATAGATATGTTACTACGGGGTAAAAAGTTAAAGAGTTACAGAAGACAAATTAAAATATATGGAATATACCATTTGTTTATGGTGATAGGTGTAATAAAGGATTTATAATGGAAGGAATAGATTGGAATAATGGGAAGTATATGTATTAGAACAAAGTGTCAGAGAACAGAAAAGAGGAATTTAGGGGTGGTGGAATGAAATGAATTGAAATGAACTGAGTATGGTTAAAGTGTTTATCAAAATTATTTTGGGTTATCTGGTATTGTCTTTAATGTGTTTGGGTGCTCTTATAGCAAGTTATGAAGGGGTAAAATTAAGGATGTGAGAATGATATGTTATTATTTGTAGATATAATCATGATTTAGAATGGATGGAATAGATTATAATATTTGAAGGTATATGTATTAGAATATAATGTTAAGGGTGACGGGATATAAATTTAAGGGGGTGGAATGAAATGAAATGATTCGAGCATGGTAAAAATGCTTTCAAAAATTAATTTGGTTTGAATTTCAAGGGTAATGAAATGAATTGAAATGATTTGAGGTAGTAAGGGAAAGAGACTATTAAGTGGTAAAAAGAGACTATTTAGTGGTAAATTATTAATGGAATTGTAAGAAGGGGAAATAGCGAAGAACTAAGTGGTAAGTTTAATGAGAACAAATTTAAAAACTAAAACATAAGTAGGTATATATGATAGACAAATGCTGCATAAATTATAAGGAGGTAAATAGTAAACATGGAAAATAAAGAAAACTGTTTGGATGCTAGAATTAATGGAAATCCACGAAGTAATTTATCCCAAGGGAGCAAATTTGAAAAAGATTAAGGTTTACAGATGTGTGCAATTGAAAGCTTTCATCTTTGGTGATTACGTGTAAATTTAGGTTGCTTGGTAGCTAGGTTGCTTTGTAAAATATATGTGAAGTATAAGGAATTAAGTATATATGTATTAATAATTGTTGGTGAATATGCATTATGATGAAAAACCCAATAAAAATATTTTTTAAAAGTAAAATAAATTCCTTCATCAAAGACAATGATAAAAAAGGGTTTATATTTTAGTTACACATTACGTCCAACATTGGCCCAGAGGTAAGTAGGTGGATGGAAGCCTGTTCCCCCATCCCACACTGATCACAGTCATTTCACCTGACATGAGAATTGAGCTCCTCTCCTCTCAACAAGGAATCATTCTTTCCTCTACAATAGCTCATAATAATCTAAGTAAGACCTCACAGAGCTAGTTTTCTCACACAACTCTCTCTAGGTACATGCACCATGTGGTTCTCCCCCTCACACGCATAGAGAGATACCAATATTTTTTAAAAAAAGGATTACAGGAAAGTAGAGAAAGAACCATACTTTTATGTCAGGGAACTGGCCGAGGTAGGTGTCCATAGTTAGCAGTGCCTGATCCACCAGCTTCTGATGAAAGTCTGTCCACAGCAGGTCATTGTTCTACAAGACAATTGAGAAGATCAGTGACCAACCATACAGCCACACTGGTACCATGACATGCACGAAAAGGAAAGTGTTGTATTTAAAGTTAAATTTCATATATTAGGCACGACAAACCCAGCAAACACACCTTTTGCACTGAGCTGCATCCAATCTGGTCTCCCTTTGTGATACACATTTGCCAACATTTGCTTGTCCCATTTTTAGGTGCAAAAATGTAGTCTCGGCTGCATCCACACAATGATGATCATCTATGTAGTTCTCATTGCCACTGCAAATGCACAGCATCCACATGGCAGTTTTCCCATGCATTTTCCTTGCCTCAGCCCCCTTCACACATAACACATACTAGTGGAGGTAACTGTTATATTGCTACAGTGACACTAGAACAGGGGTGGCCAAACTGTGGCTCAGGAGCCGCATGCGGCTCTTTCACACATCTTGTGCGGGTTCCGGCAGGGCGGCTGGGGAAGCTAAATATCATGAGCAAACGAATATCATTGGACAAATAAATATCATTATCAATATCTGTTTACCGCTTTTGCTGTTATTTTGGGCAGTCTCATTTCATGTTATTAAAAAGTAAATTTGCACATTTACCGGTAAAAACGTGTAATATTTTTTTTATGTCTCGCGACTCTCAAACATCTACCTTTTATTCTATGAGGCTCTTATGTCAAGGAAGTTTGGCCACCCCTGCACTAGAACAATACATCAACTGTTGATTATTTTAAAAATCCCCCCAGTGGTACAGGGAAGGGGAAAGAAATGGTGCTTTCAGGGGCTGAGGAAAGGGAAATGGCACTAAAGTGGGATGAAGACTTAAAAGTATGCACCGTCCCATGTAAACACCATGCAAATGCATTTGGACTGCAATCTTTCCAAAAGATCATATCAGACTAGGTTTTTGAAGATTGAAGTGAAGTGGGGTAAAATGTGAAAGGTGTATGATTACAAGATTACATCATGAGGCTCCTCCAAACAAACAAAACCCACCAAAAATATAGAACAATCTGGTCAATGTCTAACACTTTTAACTCTATCTCTTGGAAGACCATGGGATCACATATGGTTAACTTTTCTCATTGAAACCAAAGAGAAGCACGTAACTAGGGTTGCCAAGTCTTACCTGCTGCTGGAGTGGGGGGCTCCCATCACCCGGAAGTGACGCGACCACGCCAGGCATGCTGGGGGCGGGGCCACGACCATCCGAGGGAAAACCATAGAGTTTTCCCTCGGATGACCGTGGCCCTGCCCCCAGCATGCCCAGCATGGTCGCGTCACTTCCGGGTGACGTGCACGTCGCGTACTTTGGGGGTGGGGTTCCCCCCGGGCCCCGATCCGCCGCCGGCGGGGAACGGGCCTCTGGGGCGGGGGTTTCCCCGCCCCCCGGGGGGACTTGGCAAGCTTACACATAACTCTGTCTGGATTGTGCCTAAGATGTGTAAAGAGGCACCAGAGTACACTCAATTCACTACTCTTCTTTGACGTCCTACAACAGCATCAACAAAAAAAATCACAGCAACTAGAAACTGGGACAATTCAAAGGAAGGAGGTGCAATTAGAGAAAGGGAGCTTCCATAAGCAGTGTACTCAGAAGTAAGCCTCATGTTATTCAATGGGAGTTACTCCCAGGAAAGTACCTTTGGGATTCCAGCCAAAGTCACTCACAACAAGAAAACACAGCAATCCAGTAACAAAACAGCCTGAAATGTTCAAACAAATACAGCTCATGCAACCTCAGTAAAAAGGGAGGAGAAGGTTTGCTTCACTTCTGATCAGGGTAAGCTGCTCATCTGCAAGAGCAAGGGGGAAATCGCTTCCGGAAGCTTTAGGCAGGAGAGCATTTGCAGCAGACTCTTGACAAACACTTCATCCAGTGTATCCGTGGCATGGCAGCTAAAGGCCCAAATCCCTGGTCAACTACAGAGCTTGACATCCCTCATTCCCAATCAGCATTGCTGAGGACACAAAGAAGTCGGTTTGCAAAGCACCGTAGAGGCTAAGAAGAACTATGCTTCATGCCTGCTCGGTCCCAGCTTCTGTGCTGGGAGGAGTTTCAGGAACAGACCATAAGCTGCTATTGGGAAATGTCTGCTTCCAAGTCTTCTTTACCCATATAAGCCACTTTCACCCACAGAAATCCAATAAGCACAAACTTCCCTTTTGCTTGCTTCATCATCAGGCACCATTAAAAAGCCAAACAGATTTCTGACAGTCATACATAGGGATGGGCACGAACTGGCTCACAGAGTACAGTTCCTCATGAAATTTGGCCAGTTCATGGTGCATGAAGCAATATTCATGGAAGGGCTTCCACGAACTTTGCTGCTGTTCGCGGCGGTTCATTTGAAACATTTCCAGACAGACTGTCTCCGCTCAATTAAAACATTTACAAAACTCCAAAGCAACAGGGAGGCAGAATTCTCCATCCTTGGAAGCACCAATAGGAGCCCCCCAAAGCTTAACAGGCACTGCTGGCCGCCAATAAAAGAGTTCCCATTCTGCTCTATGGGATCACAAAGCTATATATATCCTTAGCTCACCTCCACACCCTCTCCTCTGTTGGCAGTTACACAGAGAGGCAGGGAACTTACTAAAAACAGACTAGCAGAGCGGGACTCTGTGCTCACACCAAGCAGAGGGGCTTAGCTACTAGGTGCCTCAGCTGAAGACCCAGATTTTCATTGTGAACTCCTCTCCCCTGCTTGGGTCTAAGGGTGTTAACATGAACCACCCAGTCTCTCCACTCATGCCGAGCAGAGGGACATAGCTACTGGGTGCCTCGGCTGAGGCCCCACATGTTGATTGTGAACTTATCTCCCCTGCCGGTGTTTGGGGGTGTGAAGTGTAGTGGGTTAGATGCATGTATAAACCACTGAGACGGATGTAGTGATCAGCATGGTTTACTGGTACACAACAAAAGACAAAAACTACTGGCCGGCTGGCCAACTATATACACACCTGGGGACAAGAGTTGTTAGCACTATAACACAACTATAGCACAACTATATACACACCTGGGCAAAAGAGTTGTTAGCACTGCCCAGAGACACCAGCAGTTGCTAACACTCTTTGGAAGCACCAATAGGAGCCCCCCAAAGCTTAACAGGCACTGCTGGCCGCCAATAAAAGAGTTCCCATTCTGCTCTATGGGATCACAAAGCTATATATATCCTTAGCTCACCTCCACACCCTCTCCTCTGTTGGCAGTTACACAGAGAGGCAGGGAACTTACTAAAAACAGACTAGCAGAGCGGGACTCTGTGCTCACACCAAGCAGAGGGGCTTAGCTACTAGGTGCCTCAGCTGAAGACCCAGATTTTCATTGTGAACTCCTCTCCCCTGCTTGGGTCTAAGGGTGTTAACATGAACCACCCAGTCTCTCCACTCATGCCGAGCAGAGGGACATAGCTACTGGGTGCCTCGGCTGAGGCCCCACATGTTGATTGTGAACTTATCTCCCCTGCCGGTGTTTGGGGGTGTGAAGTGTAGTGGGTTAGATGCATGTATAAACCACTGAGACGGATGTAGTGATCAGCATGGTTTACTGGTACACAACAAAAGACAAAAACTACTGGCAGGCTGGCCAACTATATACACACCTGGGGACACTCCCCTAGGTCCCATTGGTGGGTTTAAATCTCCCGCCACGGTCCTATTGGTTCCCAAGTGGAGAGACTGGGAGCATAGTCCCCATTGTTCCTACAGAGTCAAGCTCGGGGGTATTCGCTGGCCCCTGGTGGTGGTCAGCGGACATAACAGGGTGTTAAGTGGACTCAGGGCTCCGAGAAAAACTGTCTCTCTGCTCACACCAAGCAGAGGGACTTAGCCACTGGGTGCCTCAGCTGAGAATGCACATGAGGATGAAAGTGGGTGCAACGGGTGTGCATCATGGGGGGGAAGACATCCTCCACCCTCCACGTACCACAGGCCCCCGTCCTCAGGCACCAAACCCATCCTGCCAGCCCACTGGAGCCCGCCTCTAGCAGGGCGTCACCAGAGGTCTCAGAGCCTCCCTTCCTTGATCTGTTCCTGGGGCTCTCCAGAAAAGCAAAAGAGTTGTTAGCACTGCCCAGAGACACCAGCAGTTGCTAACACTCTTTGGAAAGAAGGACTCTGACATCAATGATTCAGGGGGGGGGCACGCATCCTCCCCTTCCACACAACTCCGTTGTTGCTCCTGTCTTGAGCACAAACCTCCATGACCCCCCCAGCCCAGTGTCAAAAGCAGCTGTCCCTCCTCCCACCATCTCCAATGCCGGGGCCTCATGTCCAGTACACACTTTGGAAACATTTCCGCACCCTTCTCAGTGACCCCTGTCTGCCAAACCCACGTCTGGAGGGGCGCAGACCCCCAACACTTGTCCTCCTCTGTCCTCCACAGGCACCTGCTGAGGGAAATAATGGCAGCCAGAGGGAGGAAGAAGAGGCCCAACTCCCTCTCAGCAGGGAGAACCGGAGGGGGAGCACTTGGGGGGGCAGGTCACACTCCAAAAGGTCATTATAAGATGATTTTGTTAGGCAGGAATGTGCCCCCTTATCAAGTAGGACAGCTAGCTATTGTTAAGAGAAGATTTAAAAAAAACTATAGATGTGGGAAGTTGAATTGACTGGAAGCTTCTTCACAGAAGCGACTCCTTGCTAAGTTATCGGCTTATTGTGGGGTGAGATAATGTTATGGACTCATATTTATTGGGAGGGACTGTGGCTCAGCGGCAGAGCATCTGCTTGGCATGTAGAAGGTCCCAGGTTCAATCCCCAGCATCTCCAGTTCAAAGGATCAGGGAGGAGGTGATGCAAAAGACTGAGACCCTGGAGAGCTGATGCCGGTCTGCGTAGACAAGACTGACTCTGATAGACCGATGGTCTGATTCAGTATAAAGGCCGCTTCATGTGTATTCCCCCAGGGACACCGACAGTGCCATCCAGAAGGGCTACGTGGAGGGCCCAGGAAGCAGTCACTCGCCTCGTCAGTAAGACGATCACTGTGGATGGCC